TCAACTTCACAGCCTCCCCTCTCCAAGACTTCTTGTTAGATTCTAAGTCATTTTCTAAACCTCCCCCCCCAAACCCATACATGCAAGAGTATGCCTCAACTTCACAGACTCCCCCCTCCAAGAGTTCTTGTCACGATTCCAAGTCATTTTTTAAACCTCCCCCAACCCAAAACCTTACATGCAAGAGTATGCCTCAACTTCACAGCCTCCCCTATCCAAGACTTCGATTCCAAGTCATTTTTTAAACCTCCCCCCCAAAACCCTACATGCAAGAGTATGCCTCAACTTCTTCACCTCTCCAAGCCTTCTTGTCACGATTCCAAATCATTTTTTAAACCTCCCCCCCAAAACCATACATGCAAGAGTATGCCTCAACTTCACAGACTCCCCCCTTCAAGAGTTCTTGTCACGATTCCAAGTCATTTTTTAAACCTCCCCCCCCCAAAACCTTACATGCAAGAGTATGCCTCAACTTCACAGCTTCACCTCTCCAAGCCTTCTTGTCACGATTCCAAGTCATTTTCTAAACCTCCCCCCACAAAACCCTACATGCAAGAGTATTCCTCAACTTCACAGCCTCCCCTCTCCAAGACTTCTTGTCACGATTCCAAGTCATTTTTTAAACCGCCCCCCCCAAAAACCTTACATGCAAGAGTATGCCTCAACTTCACAGCTTCACCTCTCCAAGCCTTCTTGTCACGATTCCAAGTCATTTTTTAAACCTCCCCCCCAAAACCCTACATGCAAGAGTATGCCTCAACCTCACAGCTTCACCTCTCCAAGACTTCTTGTCACGATTCCAAGTCATTTTTTAAACCTCCCCCCCAAAACCTTACATGCAAGAGTATTCCTCAACTTCACAGACTCCCCCCTCCAAGAGTTCTTGTCACGATTCCAAGTCATTTATTAAACTTCCCCCCAAAACCCTGCATGCAAGAGTATGCCTCAACTTCACAGCTTCACCTCTCCAAGACTTCTTTTCACCATTCCAAGGCATGTTTTACACCTCCCCCCCAAAACCCTGCATGCAAGAGTGTCCAAAGAAAAAAAAGCACGCGGATAGCTGTGGATTCATTCGAGACTATCGTTTCCATCGAACACGTTCGATTTGGTTGCCCGCATAGACATGTCATTTTGCAGATAACATGGTTTTACCGAATAGCCGTTTTTAGTTTCTGAATCAATGTTTCATAGTTTCCAAATAACCGTTATAGTTACCAAAGAGTATGGTTTCCAAATAAGACGTCTTAGTTACCAAATCAGAGTTCGTAGTTGTCAAATCACATGGTTACTAAATAATACCTTTTAGTTACCGAATCTACGTTTGATTGTTTCCAAATAACACGTTTTAGTTACCAAATAACATGGTTACCCAATAACACGTCTTGGTTACCGAATCAAATGTTTTAGTTACTCAATACTACGTTTTGGTTATCCAATAAAACGTTTAAGTTACCCAATAAACCCGTACAACCGACGTGACCTGACGACAGGAGGTCTGACGACAGGAGGTCTGACGACAGGTCTGACGACAGGAGGTCTGACGACAGGAGGTCTGACGACAGGTCTGACGAGGTCTGACGACAGGAGGTCTGACGACAGGAGGTCTGACGACAGGAGGTCTGACGACAGGAGGTCTGACGACAGGAGGTCTGACGACAGGAGGTCTGACGACAGGAGGTCTGACGACAGGTCTTCTGACGACAGGAGGTCTGACGACAGCAGGTCTGACAACAGGAGGTCTGACGACAGGAGGTCTGACGACAGGAGGTCTGACGACAGGTCTTCTGACGACAGGAGGTCTGACGACAGGAGGTCTGAACAGGAGGTCTGACGACAGGAGGTCTGACGACAGGAGGTCTGACGACAGGTCTTCTGACGACAGGAGGTCTGACGACAGGAGGTCTGACGACAGGAGGTCTGACGACAGGAGGTCTGACGACAGGAGGTCTGACGACAGGAGGTCTGACGACAGGAGGTCTGAGGTCTGACGACAGGAGGTCTGACGACAGGAGGTCTGACGACAGGTCTGACGACAGGAGGTCTGACGACAGGTGGTCTGACGACAGGTCTGACGACAGGAGGTCTGACGACAGGAGGTCTGACGACAGGTGGTCTGACGACAGGAGGTCTGACGACAGGAGGTCTGACGACAGGTCTGACGACAGGAGGTCTGACGACAGGAGGTCTGACGACAGGAGGTCTGACGACAGGAGGTCTGACGACAGGTCTTCTGACGACAGGAGGTCTGACGACAGCAGGTCTGACAACAGGAGGTCTGACGACAGGAGGTCTGACGACAGGAGGTCTGACGACAGGTCTTCTGACGACAGGAGGTCTGACGACAGGAGGTCTGACGACAGGAGGTCTGACGACAGGAGGTCTGACGGCAGGAGGTCTGACGACGTCTGACGACAGGAGGTCTGACGACAGGAGGTCTGACGACAGGTCTGACGACAGGAGGTCTGACGACAGGAGACCTGACGACAGGTCTTCTGACGACAGGACGTCTGACGACAGGAGGTCTGACGACAGGAGATCTGACGACAGGAGATCTGACGACAGGAGGTCTGACGACAGGAGGTCTGACAACAGGAGGTCTGACGACAGGAGGTCTGACGACAGGAGGTCTGACGACAGGAGGCCTGACGACAGGAGGCCTGACGACAGGAAGCCTGACGACAGGAGGCCTGACGACAGGAGGCCTGACGACAGGAGGCCTGACGACAGGAGGCCTGACGAGAGGAGGCCTGACGACAGGAGGTCTGACGACAGGAGGTCTCACGACAGGAGGTCTGACGACAGGTCTTCTGACGACAGGAGGTCTGACGACAGGAGGTCTGACGACGTCTGACGACAGGAGGTCTGACGACAGGAGGTCTGACAACAGGAGGTCTGACGACAGGAGGTCTGACGACAGGAGGTTTGACGACAGGTCTTCTGACGTCAGGAGGTCTGACGACAGGAGGTCTGACGACAGGTCTGTCGACAGGTCTGACAGGTTTTTCATCTTTGTGTCTCAATGATCTCAATTTGAATCTCAATGCTTCCCATTCTCGGTGGGAAATTCCATCAGTCTTTAAGCTGTCATTAGTCATTTCGATCTATCTTGCCTTTTTGATTCCCCTGTTCCACCATGGATTGAAGTGGAAGGTACCATGATGCTCGTGCGCAGGTAGGTTTAGATGCTGTTGGTTGGTATTGTCAGTGTCTTGAATATGTAAATTACACACACATATATATATATATATGTAATATATATCTATATATATGTAATATATATATATATGTAATATATATATATGTAATATATATATATATGTAATATATATATATATAATATATATATATATATCACATATACACATATATCTGGTTTTGAATCTTTTTTGTTCTCAGTGGCCCCAGTGGGGATCTCGTTCCCGTCCAAGTGTGGGTGTAAATGTGCTTTGGCTATATGAAGAGATGTAAGCCTTCGTGTTAAGCATTCCACTCTCCACTTTAAAAGCAGGTGCCGGTGAAATGTAGCGCAATACGAAAAGAATTCATCAGTGGCCGTAGCTCTTGATGATCTGGTATTTCCGGCCGGCCGGAAAAAAACATCTTGTGGTTGTCTGTTGCAACTTGGAAGTGTTGTTCGGTGACAGGTTTCGCCTAGGTAGCCCGAAGTAGCCCGTTTTTTTTTCTGCAGGCTTGGTTTGTTCAATTATTGGGAAAGTCTTTTTCCCTGTAGCGACCCCTCAGGCACTTGATATGCATCACGCTTTGTCATTTCCACTGCTTTGGTCCCAACAAACACACTGATTGTCTCCAGTACTAGTAGCATTTCCGAAATGTGTGCGCTGACTTTCTGGAACGAGAGGCAGACAACTGACTGCGCAGCTGCGCTGTGCGAGCCGTGTGCACAGAAACGCGGAGCACGGAGCAGAGAAAAATGGTGTCAGATGCGGGTTCCATGGGGTTCCATGACCTCCAGGTGCCAAACCGAACGGAGCTCCCAATTTCGCACAGGTCGAAAATGCTTGCGGTCGCAGACATCGCAGATTTCATGGCGGTGTGACGATGCATCGCGCAGATTGTTTGCCACCATTTCGAGACCACAAGAGCTCCACAGGTACCAAACTTAATAGTGAAGTTGCACTTGTTGATACTTGTTGATACTTGTTGATACTTGTTGATACTTGTTGCACGTGGACACGAAAACTTACAGTTGCACTTGTTTGAAAAACACGCTGCACCATGTGTTTATTGCAGATAGGTCGAGTATGACGGTATTTCCCCACCTGCCAGGTGAGGGTTGTTAGATTTTATCAGAGTTGTTCTTATCCTCGGCTAGCTCTTCTCCTCCTTCTCCTTGGCGAAGAGTTGGCAAGGCGGAAGTGGAGGTGGAAGTTGATGCAGACATGGTCGAGGAGAAACTGGAGGAGGAGGAGGCGGAGGAGGAGGAGGAGGCGAGGAAGAGGAGGAGAAGGAGGAGAAGGAGCTCTTTGCCAACTCTCTTCGCCAAGCTCTTCGCCAACGTCCGAGCTCAGTGTGCACCGCTGGACCTCAACCTGGGACCTGCCCAGCTCAGTGTGCACCGCTGGACCTCAACGGCCAGACAGAATGCCAGAAGATATGCCACATAGAATGCCAGAAGGTATGCCAGATAGAATGCCAGAAGATTTGTGAGATAATATGCCAGAAGATATGCCAGAACATATGCCAGAAGATATGCCAGGTAGAATGCCAGATAGAATGCCAGAAGATATGTCAGATAGAATGCCAGAAGATGTGCCAGATAGAACGCCAGATAGCATGTCAGATAGAATGCCAGAAGATATGCCAGATAAAATATCAGAAGATATGCCAGATAGAATGCCAGAAGATATGCCAGAACATATGCCAGAAGATATGCCAGAAGATATGCCAGTTAGAGTGCCAGTAACAAAATGTATAAATGTCATGGTGGGAATTACAGGAAGTAAAGTAATTGTTTTTAAATATTGCAGCGCCACAACATGTGGAAGCGCTTCCACAACGTGTTGCGTTCGAGGCATCGGAAGCGCTTGGAGAACTTTGGAAAGGATGCGCCTAGTGGCGACGCCAAGGCGAGGCCCCAGAATACAGAAATTCGTGACGTGACATGACGTCACGACACATCACCACACATCACGACACTCGAAGTGGGAATCGATCTGTCTTGTCGAAAGAAAAGTGATCTGTGGCGGATGATTTGAGATTTGAGGACGTGGAGAGATTGGGAGAGGATCTAGGGGATGTGGGGCATTTGGCACCGCAAGGGGAGAAACAGCCCATGGCCCCATGGCAAATCATGGCGACATTTTTCCATGTCTGATCAGTCTGATCTTCCCACTGATCTTCCGGTGACGAAATGAGCGCAGCGACATGCGAAGAAATGCTCAGAAATGCTCAGCTCTGTGAAATTCTGAAAAGTCGGGAGCCCGGAGCTGACAGAGCTGACAGAGCTGACGCTGACGCTGACAGGTCTTGGATGATTGCCGACAGCTGCTGAAGGATGAGGATTGGTTCGCTCGGAAGGTGGCAGTGGAGACCATCGCCAAGGTGTGGCCGGGGCCATGTGGCACGATGTTTCGATGTATTTCGATGTGTTGTTTCAAAAATTTGTTTCAATATGTTTTGACAATTTTTGATATGCAATTTTTAAGCACAGTTCCAAGATGTTCCGATACGATCAATTACATAATAATTACATTACATGACAACACAGAGGACCAGGATGCATTGGCTTTGTCACAAGAGGACTTTAAGACTTTGTCTCATCACAGATGATTTTGTCACTATGTCAGGTTTCCAAGAAAGGTGATGAGACGCAGTTGTCATTGTTGTACACGGCCCTGGAGGTGCGAAGGGTCCAAGAGGGTCCAAGAGGGCCCAAGAGGGCCGAAGCGAAACCTAAACGCATCAAGACACATTCGACGGATCGCCATCATTCACGGGTCCATCATTTCTTCAGCTTCAGCCGCTTCAGCCGCTTCAGCCACTTCAGCCACTTCAGCCTGCTCGCCCAGGATGATGACATCTTCGTGCGGGAGGCACCCTGAATGGTACCGTGGTACCATGGCAGTGGCAACATGGCATGGTATCAGTATAGAGAACTATAGAGATGTATAGAGCGTATCAGCTGTATCAAGTCGTATCAAGTCATATCAGAACATGAACGTATCAGTCGTATTTATCATTATTTCATAATTATTTCACAATTATTTATCTATATGTAAAAACTCCTGCAGTAAAACCATGTATCATATAGATCATCGTACTACTCTGAAGCGTTGGTTCAAAAGTGCTAGCAGCTTAGCGGATTTTACCCCATTGTCGGTTGACCTGGTAAAATACAGGTTATCAGCCGTAGTCTCACTACTTTGCTATGGGGACCCCAATTGACCATCCTCTCGCCGTTCCAGGGTCAGGTCCATCGGCTATCGCTGTGCCGAATGTGGCCGGGGGCAACCCCGAGCCGATGGACGACGAGACAATGTTCCAACCCGTTGTAGCGTACTTTACCTTCATACAAAACAACCTGTCCCAGATCACTAGTGGGAATACCCTGCAAGTCATGAGGGAAGCTGAACAGAGGCACCTTCAGATAATGCATGGAGTAGTTGACTCAATTCGAAACGAATGGTCAAGTAGACTCGTAATGCAAGAGCAGGAGTATGAGCAAAGGCTGCAGGAAGTTGAAGGTAAGGCCATTAGTGCCGTCAACGAGGAGAGGAAACGAGGCGATGAGATGGAGGTCAGGTTGAATCAGGCTCAGGCATCGCATGACAAAAGAATAGAGGATGTAAAGGCAGAGGCAAACACAAAGCATGATCAGAAAATTGCAGAGGAAAGGCAACGTATCACTAGTGAATTCGAAGCTTCCTATGCACAGACGGTTGAACATGCAAAGAATGCCATAGCTGCCACAAAGAAGCAATATGAAGATCAGGCTGCAATTGATCAGGCCAGGTTCATCAGTTTGAGGACCGATTCCGAGAACTACAAGAAGGAGATGGCCGACAAGATCAACGAGGCAGCGGCTCAGAACCTTAGCCTTCAGGACCAAATTGATGACCTTCAGGAGCAGTTAAAGCATGTTGCCAAAGCGCAGCATGCCTCCGTTCCGAAAGCATCCGTCCAGAATGCCGAGCCGGCCGCTACCACTAGCGTGCCCCACTTCAATATTGCCACTCCCAAAGCATCCGATGCACAGGCTGCCAAAGGCAGTGATGAGCCGATTCATGAGTTGAAAACGCCTGCAGTGTTGGCACAGGAAGCAAAGGCCAAGTTGGATGAGCTGCTCAAAGGTGGCAGTCCCAAGCAAAAGCCGGCTGTCGGCAACGACCAGCCCCAATTGCCAACGCAGTCAGGGTTTTTCACTCCCACTGAAGCTATCAAAACTCCCCCAAATGACTCCCCTAAGAGCGTAACCAAGCAACAGCAAGTGATGGGTCCCTCAGATCTTATTGAATTGGTGAAAGCCTTAACCCAAAGGGAAGAAAAGGATAAGCCAAAAACTAAGGAGGCCGAAATCATCAAGCTGAACAACATGCCCGCTCCGGAGTCGTATAGGACTTGGAAGAATCATGTCAAGGATGAAGTGAAAAGCTGTTCAGATCGCCCGGATGAGGCGTGGCTCTGGCTCAATGAGGTGTACGATCAAGAGTGCACCAGAGAGCAGTTGGAGAAGAAACTCCAAGATCCTGGAAAGTTCCTTACGCTGGATACAAAGTTATCAGCAGCGCTCACACGCTCAGCCGGAGGGGACCTCGCGACTAGGATCTTGAATTTCAAAGAGCAGCAATCCCGAAAAGGCATCCAGGTCAGGGGAAGGTATGTTCTGCTCATGTTTGAGGACTACTTCAAGACATCAGAAGAAGCAGGTAGCCTTTACAGAGTAGAAGATCTTTTGGGTGTTGTCAAAGTAGGCGATACTGTCCAGGATCTCCGAAGATTCATCAACAAATGGGATGCTACCCTAGCTGGCATGGCTGTCACCCCTGATGATGCTGTGTTAAGGGACATCTTGTTGAGGCAGATCCGACCAAGTCAGTTGCTGAAATATGACATTGAGATGTTTGACCGTGCTCATGAGAAATCCCATGAAAAGTCTTATAGTTTTCTTCACCAATCCATGAAGAACTTGATCGATCGTGAACGATTGAGGGAAAACAGGAACCGCATCGCGGAGAAGAACAAGGCTGGGATCAAGGACACAAAGGCTGCACCTGCCAAAGGCGATGGTCGCGGTGGCCGAAAGGGCTCCCCAAGTCGTGGTAGATCGCAGGAACGAGGTGGCAAAGGTGACAAGATTTGCTATAAGTTCCAAAAGGGTACCTGTGATAAGGGGAAGAAGTGTCCATTCAAGCATGTCAAAGATGACAAATCTCGAACTCAATCACCCAGAAGAACCAAAACACGTTCACCATCAAAGGGCAATAAAGATGATAAGGGGAAGAAGATGTCCAAGGAAGAAATGGCCAAAACCCCATGTATCTATCATGCCCAGGGAAAGTGCAGACGTGGTGACAAATGTTTTTATAAGCATGATGACAAAGCTGCTGCCGCCACCAAAGACACCAAAAGGGCCAATTCACCCGCTCCCAAGAAGAAGAGCAAGGATTCCGCAGCCGCTCCATGCCTGATCCAGAAGTTTGCATGCATCGTCCGAAAACAGCCGAAGGCAACTTCGTGCTCTGATGAGTCAAGTGTCAGCATGAAGCGTCTTAGATTCCGAAAGGCCCCACATGTGATCGAGGTGAAAGCAGTTGGTCGTCAAGTCCCAGTCAAGCACCGTCCAAGAGAGTTCACTAAGGTGTACAAGACAGCTGAAGATGTTCCAGTTTCATCCAAGGTTGAACAACATGAGGCTCAGGTTCGTGCAAGACAGCTTCAAGAAACCGTGAAACTTCATGATTCAGATGTTGCACCAAGTTGTGGGTTTTGTTGTTGGAATGAGGACACACGTGACATCACATGCAAAGAGTGCAGGTTCATCAGCGGTCCCAAAGCTCTTAGAGACATTGGTCGTTTCCCGTCAATTGCCACAGCTGCGCCAAAGGCCGGCGTTAGTTGGCTTGTCGACTCAGGTAGTGAATCCGATCTTGTGTCCAAAGGAATGCTGAGGGACGTAAGCGCCAAGAACTGCCGTGCAGCCGAGCATCCGATTTCCTTAGTCACAGCCAATGGTTCGACCGAGGCAAATGAGGTTGCTGATGTCAAGTTGTCCGCATTGCCAGATCCCGTGCATCCGTATGTACTTGATCATACCCCAGCTGTGCTCTCCGTAGGAACGAGATGTGTAGATCAGGGTTACAGTTTCGTATGGCCTGCCAATGGCAAACCAATCCTAGTCCGTCCAGATGACAAGGTCGTCCAGCTCAAGATCGAAGGTCACGTCCCAATCTTGGATGATAGTTGCAAGGTCTATCCCAAAGATCAATTCCAAAAGGATAAGCACCTCAAAAAGTTGTTTGCAATGCCGACCTCACGGTCGAGCTCAAAAGCCAAGCGGGACGAAGCCCAAGATGAAGAGCAGTTGGACGAGCTGGTGGAGGATGACGCTCAGCAGGAGTACATCCGAAGCCGCAAGACTGAGGATCTGTTGGCTGAAGCTGCAAGTACCCAACATCAGTACACGCATTTCCCCAAGAACCCCTTTTGCAGAACTTGCCAACGAGCAAGGATGATGGCACCTCAGGCACGAAAGAAGGGTGGTCAGAAGAGAATCGAAACTGAAGTGTTTGGTGACCACATCATTGGGGATCATGTCATCATCAAGAAAAATGTAGAAGAGGGTTTCAGGGGGGAGCAAGTTGCGTTGGTGTTGAAAGATCTGCACACCCAATATCGGTATGTCTACCCTAGCCAGTCCAAGGACTCACAAAGCTGTGTTGATGGTTTGAATCACTTCATTGGATCAAAGGATGATGTTCAAGTTGTGTACACTGACAATTCCCCAGAATTGATCAGGGCCATCAAGGATTTGGGTTACAGACACCAAACTTCCATTGAATATGTAGATTCATCAAAGTCTTTTGCTGAGCGCGAAGTTCGTCAGATGTTGGAAGGTGCCCGGAGCAACTTGTTGCAATCAGGACTTCCTCTGAAGATGTGGCCATTGGCCATGCAGCATCATGCGACCGCGATCAACGCAAGCCCCCAGCTTGACGGCAGTGAATCCCCATGGCAACTCAGGTTTGGTGAAGAGTTCCCTGCAATGCACATTCCATTTGGTGCCAAAGTGTTGTTCTGGAATAACCCCAAGAGGTTGGATAACACATCAGGTAAGCTCTCCCCAACAGCAAATGAAGGAATTTTCCTTGGGTATTACATCCAACCAGGTCATGATTGGAAGGGTGAATACTTAGTTGCCAAGTTGGAAGCCGCAGATTATCATGTCAACTGGGGTGCACTGACAATCCAAAGAACAAAGAGGTTGGAACTGCCATCCGAGGGTTTCATCTTTCCTTTGAAAGCTCTGATTGACTCGAAAGCACCCAAAGCCGATCGCCTCGAGGACCAGGTCATTCCGCAGACACCCAACCTCTTGAGTCCAGGTTGCATCCGCCACAAGATGAGTATGAATACGAGCCAGGTACGCCTCTACCAGCCGACAGCGATGTCGAGCCTGATGCACCCGAAGCGCCCGTATTTCCAGATCTCAAATTGACCCCTAAAGGTGAAATAATTCCAGATGGACATCATTGGGATGGTCACCGGATTGTACGTAACTATAAAGGTTCAAAGCGTCCGGAGGGGATCGACTCAGAATTGTGGAAGATGTTAGGACCCCAAGATAGGAAGTTGATCATCGAGGAAGAAGCAAAGAAAGCAGCCAAGGAGCAGGAGGAGAAGCCAGCATCGTCATCTGGCAGCAAGGGCAAAAAGAAGAAATCTTCACCGGCCCGGCTTGAGGCAACTCAATGCCCTCCTGCAACTGCAAAGCTCGTAGGCAATGTTTGGGAAATCATTCCAGCCAATTCCCAAAAGTTTTCCGTGCCGGCAATGCCAAAAGTTGCCGCGCCTGCCACAATTGAGCACCGGCCTC